TCATGTTAGCATCTTGTAACAGTTTGAGTTTTATCCTTGCCTTCTTTCCCTGCCAAACATATTTCAAAACCATTTTATTTAAGTCTGCAAAAAATTCCTTACCCAACTTTATAGGAATTGTCTGAAAAAGATACAAGATTCTAGGTAAAATATTCATCTTAATAGTTGCAATTCTACCAATCAAAGATAGCTGCAAGTTTCCCCATTTCACCAAATCCTGTCCTATCTGTTGCTTGATCTTATTATAATTATTTTCTTTAAGAGAACTACATCTTGCTGTTAATTGAATCCCCAGGTATTTTACGTTATTTGTGACCTGCATCTTAGAAATCTCCCTCAGTTCTTCTTTTTGTTTTTTTAACATATTTTAGTCATTATCTTCGTCTTCTCTTTATTAATTTTCAAACCAGCAACCTCCCCAAATTCACCTATTTTTTCTATCAATTTATTTATTGATATTAATGGTTCTTCAACAATAAAAACCAGGTCATCAGCAAAAGCTTGTAATTTATATTCTTCCTTTCTAATTTTCATTCCTTTTATCTCTTTTTCTTCTCTAACCTTTCTATTCAACACTTCCAATGTCAATATAAATAACAATGGGGATAAGGGACATCCTTGTCAAGTACCTTTTTCTATTTCAATAGCACCAGTCAATTCTCCATTAATCATTACCTTTGCCGTCTGTTTTGTATATATAGCTTCAATTGCCTGAATAAATTTCCTTCCAAAGCCCATCTCTTCCATTTGTAACATCATAAATTGCCAGTTCACATTATCAAATGCTTTTTGTGCGTCTAAGAATACCAAAGCCATTTGTTTTTCAGGGTGCACTTCATAATATTCTAGAGTATTCAAAATTATTCTTATATTATCTCTGATTTGTCTTTTTGGAAGAAATCCATTTTGATCTGGATGAATAAAGTTATTCAAGTGTCTCTTAAGTCTTTCTGCCAGTATTGAAGCAAAGATTTTATAGTCCAAATTTAGCAGGGATATAGGCCTATAGTTTTTAACTTGCTGTGGGTCTGTGTCTTCTTTATGAATCAGTGTGATATAAGCCTCAGTCCATGATTGGGGTATTGTTTTATTTGTCATTACTTCATTCATAACGTCCAAAAGTGGGAGGCATAAGGATTCTTGTAATGTCTTACAGGCTAAAAACATTCTTGAAACTTGATCTCAATGATGAGGATAGCTCCTATATAGCTGTTTGGTTAAAACAGGAGAATGCTCAGTAGCTACAGTATATAGGAAATTGATCATAATCAAAAGTGATAGTGGATATCTGTTCTAGCACTTGACTACAAAATGTGTAACCTGCATAGTTGCAAAGAATACATTTGGGGCATAGAATATACTCTTCTGATATTTCTATTACATAAGGAAATGTGTCATCAGGCACCTCAAGTAACCTGAAGTATTTTACATACCAAAGGTCAGAAAGGGATATTGCCAAAATTCCCATACCCTTAAAGCAGTGGTGAAATCTGAACTGGTTTACTACCGGTTCGCTGGCCGCGAACCGGTAGTACATGCACCATGGCATGCACCAAATATGCACTGTGCGTGCGCATGCGCAGTGCACACCAAACACAAGCTGCGCACACATACGGGCAGTGCACGCCAAAAGGAGGCTTGGGAAGGTAAGTAGAACAGCATGGGGGGGTGATCAGCTGTGGCGCACGTGGGAACCTTTTAAAAAGTTTTTTAAAAGCATTTTTTACTACCTATTCGCCTGAGCTGGTAGTAAAAAAATGCTTTTAAAAGGTAAAAAAGGGGCTCCGACAATCACAGCTGTGCTGCGCGATCATTGGAACCTTTTTTTTTACCTTTTAAAAGCATTTTTTTAATACTGGCTTGGGTGAACTGTCCCGAACCGGTAACATTTCACCCCTTAAAGACTATTTAGTATCAAGACCAAGATTTTCATGTCATTGCAGAGACTTGAGAATATGCATGCAGTAAACTAAGGATACAGGGAATACTGTAAGTGTCTATTTTTTTGTGACTTGATAAAATGAATAGGTAGATGGATCTAGTCATCCTGGTTAAGGATAACTTTGGATACACGCCCATGATGTTTCAGAATATGCCCACATGATGAGAAGATTGGTTTTAAACAAAATAATAATAATAATAATAATAATAATAATAATAATAATAATAATAATATTTTATTTCTATACCACCCTTCTCCCGAAGGACTCAGGGCGGTGTACAGCCTATTAAAAGCACAAAAGACAGACATCAATTAAAAATAATTAAAATTATTAAATAGTTTCGGCTCAAATTTAAAACCCCCAAAATTTAAAACACCTAATTTAAAATCATTACATTGATAGCCCGGCCTGGCGGAACAGCAGGGTCTTGAGGGCACAGCGAAATACACGGAGGTCAGTTCATTCCACAGGGCAGGGGTTCCCACAGAGAAGGCCCTCCCCCTGGGTGTCGCCAGCTGACATAACTTGGCCGATGGCACCCTGAGGAGACCCTCTCTGTGGGAGCGGACTGGCCGGTGAGAGGCTATTGGTGGCAGAAGTCGGTCTCGAAGGTACCCAGGTCCTATGCCATGGAGCACTTTAAAGGTGGTGACCAGCACCTTGAATCGCACCCGGAAGACCACTGGGAGCCAGTGCAGCTCACGCAGTAGGATGTCACGTGGACACAACGGGTTGCGCCCATAATCACCCGCGTGTCCGCATTCTGGACCAATTGGAGCTTCCGAGTGCTCTTCAAGGGAGCCCCATGTAGAGAGCATTACAGTAGTCCAGCCGGGAGGTGACAAGGGCGTGAGTGACCGTGCGCAAGGCGTCCCGGTCCAGAAAGGGCTGCAACTGGCGAATCAAGCCAAACTAGTATGGCAGATAATATTTCTGACAGTTATGACAGTACAATCATTTTCAGAATGACATCAAGGCAGCAATGGCCATCATACATTTCTAAGGTAGCCTGATTCAGTGTATTGTTGTGAGTGTATCTTGATAGTCTTAGCCTTTTTTATAAAGTTGATGTATTATTAATGCTTAAAGAGTAACCTCTTACCAATAATTTCTCAATGAATTTATAAATTTAACTTATTTCACAAAAAGTGATAAGTATTTATCTGAAAATATTGCAGCACAAAGAAAAAAATGCTAAGTCTTCAACAGAATAATAACAGCAGCCTTTTCCCTCTTTCTGATAAGCTGACCTCCATATGAATAAATTGTGGCTCTGCAGAGACATTTCTTTTTCCACATAGAAAATATGGATTACTATTTTTACACTTTATTGTCTTCTGTTTTTGAAAACAGAAATGCAGGAGCTCAGTACTACATGCAAATCTTTGTAAAGTAAACCTTTTGTAAAAACCTTAGTTGTAGTTGTAGCTCTGTGAGATTTGGAAATGGCTGAATGAAATATTTCGGGAAATATTAAAAAGGCAGAATTTTATATTTCCTAAAGGCGAAATGGAGAAACATGCTCTTAAAGACAGAAAGCAGCCCCAAAATCTTTTTAATAGCCCACAGCAGATGCCAACACTTAAGAGATAAAGAGCTTGTTAAAGAGGAAGACAAGTATCTAGATAGCTCTATTCATAGGCAAAGCAAATACTGCAGGCAGAAATCCATTCAAGACAGGATATTTTGAAACTCCTTGGCTGATGGTAGGATTAAAAAGCAGCCCCTCACCCACAATCCAACACAGGATGACAGCCATTAAACTACAATAGGAATTGCCCAATACCCTTTCAGAACACAAGCCCCTTCATTGCACCCTCAGAGCAGTCCAAATTTCAAAGTCACAAACCTGGGAGCTCAGATAAACAATAAACCAGAGGTTGACCAGATTAATTCAAACACCTAGGATTTGCATTTCCTCTTTTGCCTATAGGGCCAGCTATGATCCCTACATTACCCTATAGGAATCTGACAACAGCTAACTGAATATTAAAGGACATGTTTTTGCACTGGAACAGGAAGCTCAAATATGTAGGAAGTTAGCACCCACCCCTTTCCTGGAAGGGTGAAATATTTTAGGAAATATGAAAAAGGCAGAATATTATATTTCCTTGGATGAGAAATGGATAAGCATGGTTTGAAGCAGCTCCCATCTTCCTGCCCCCACCCTTTGTCAATGGGCCATTAAGGCCTGGGCCAGTCTATTCTACATAACAAAGACCTACCTCCTTCAGGCAGAGCCATAGTAGGAATTGCCAAAGATTCAACAAAGATAGGATTAGCCCTCTACACAAAGCAGCAGAAACTCACCACATGTGACCTGGGAAGCACATGTGACTATCAGCCAGCAAGGCTAAGACCCCCACCCCCTGGGAGTCTGACAACCAATCAGGATACTCTTTCGGGGCCCCAAGAAATGCAGAGCCAGAGAGAGCATAAAAATCCGAGGATTTACTGTATCTGCCCCCTTTTCTGCTCAGGAACTCAAGCCATGTGATCCTGTCCACCATTAAACCATCTTTCCAAGCAGCCTCCATGTTTCCAGTGTCTGTTTCCCCACTTGGAGCAGAACCCAGACGGATGTTTCTTCCAACAAATACAAAGCCCAAAGAAGGTTTAAAACCAACCCACTCTCAACCCCATTTTGATCAGCTGACCCAGAATTATCTTTGTGGTTCTGTTCAATAAACCATTTTTCCAATAAACTTCCATGTTAGCCTGACTAGGTGCCTCAGTAGCTAAGACACTGAGCTTGGTGATCAGAAAGGTCGGCAATTCGAATCCCTAGAACAGGTCTCCTGCATGATCAGGGGGTTGGATTAGATGACCTCCAAGGTCCCTTCCAACTCTTGTTACTGCTTCCAGCGTTTTTCTCTCAGCTTGGAACTGAACCAGATAGATTTTCCTTCCAAAATGGCATTTGGCTCATTTTTCTCCCTGCCTTAAGAACTCCCCACATTCCAGACCAGAGCATTCAAATTTAAACTGAGGTTTCAATTCAAGGCAGGGTTCTTTTAACCTAAAGCCCCGCCCATTCCTTCCGCAGCTTAAGGATACGATATGCACCAAGCAATCGTTCCCCCTCCTTCAAATCCCGTCAGCTCCGGTCAACAGTCGAATCTCCCTCACGAAGCCCTTCTTCCTCACCAATCGTCTAGCAGGAGGTACAACGTACGCGCCGTGGGGGAGGGAGCGGTTATCTCTTGTTATTTCTAGTACACGCGGGCGTTGTTTGGCGCGTGCGTGTTCTTTCTTCCATCCCTATGTTTTTGGAGAAAATAGCAAGAACCTCGCGGCTTGCTTGAACAAAGCCTGAAAGGTAGTGTGTGCGTTCTCTTCGGTTTATTCCTGGTTTGCCAACACTCTCCCCTCCCTTTGGAACTGCCGCTATTTTCTGATTGGCCGCCTGGTGCCCCGGCCAGGTGTCAGCAATAGCAGGAGCTAAGTCTGCGAGGAGTGCGGAAGGGGGCGAAAGAGACAGTTTCAAGACGGAGGCATATGGTCGCCTGTGGCTATCACGTTTCCTTTAATTCAGTGGTGATAGGCGCTTGCTACCAAAGAAGATTCTGATCAAAGCCAGGAAAAATTCAGAACTGTCCCTTTCTATGACAGCTGCCATGCTAACGTAAAGGAAGGCGCAACCGGCTCTTTTATCTGACCAGTCACCTTTTGAGACGCTTGCTTTATGCTGGAGATACTTTGATTTGATTTCTCCTCCTGCTCTTGGTGTCGGATATTGGAAGTACTGGACTGGTGCAGACAACTCCAAAGGTTAGAGGGGTTCTCCCCTTCCCCTCATATGAGTTTAGCTGCCTGAAAATGACAAGCAGTTCAAGATGGTCAACCATTGCTTAGTCTTGTGGGTAGGGGACACAGAGGGAGATTTTAAGGAATTGTTGAACCAGCTTTTATCTTCAGCTTTGGACCACTTTGCTGAAGAAAAGAGGGAATGTGGTGGAACTGGGGTTGGTGGAGCTAAGAAATCAGAGAAGTTATCGGATAGCTTCCATTTTGCTGCATCTTTCTTGCATTATGCTGAGGGTGAGCATAGACAACTGTCCACCTCTCTGCTCTCTACCAGTCTCCTTTATTGCAGTGGCTACTGCAGGGAAAGGTGAAAATATCTGTATTTGGAGAATGATTTTGATGCAATTGCCACTTAGATTCTGCTGAAATATGTCTTACACAACTGCAAGCAGCATTTCCTTTATAGGTCTTAGGTGTGTCTTGCAAAGAAGGTATTTCTAGCTCTGATATAATTCCATAACAGGATGACTAGAGGGAAGTAATGCTATACATTTAATATATAATCTCACAAATTCTTTATTTCTTTATGGAATTTATGTCTTTCCAAAACAGTCTTTACAGATACATCCAATGGTTGTAATAGATTGAAACTATAATTAGAATTGTATGCTTATTACTGATTCAAATGCAGTGAATTGAGTTGTTAATATCATAGATTCTTAAGGTTCACAGAAAGTGATAGAACTAGAAAGGGTTATATAGCTTTTTTAAAGAAAGAAGCATAGTAATGGATTTTTAAGTAAATAGCAGTGAAATTAAGTCAACTTACATTGTGTTAATTGTGTGCGTAGGTTGTAGTTTTAACATCTCTTCTAGTTTAGAAGTCTAATAATTTTAGTTAAAATTACAGTGATTGGTTATTAGTATTGTTTGTTGCTGTTTCTATCCATAGACTTACATAAGTGTAAGGAGGTTTACATGAACGTAACTTCAAGTACACCCGAGGGCATAAACTTGACTTTATGATGGCATTCAATTTAATTTGATTTTTAATTCAATTATATAATACCTTCTTTAAGGTATTAAAGAAGGTATTATATAATAGGCAGCAAAATGTTCAACAACTCTGCTTTGGCTTTTTCTTCTTTCTTTTATCTGATTCAATTTAACCATTAATGTAGCTGGGCCTGGCCAGTAATCTTATTAATTTACATTTATGAACTAATCAGACTAAATTAGTGACCAGCTGTTTGAGCTTGCAAATTTATGGAAACATTTGACTACAAATAATTTCTGCTAAGCACTCATGGATACAGTGAAATCAAATAATATTAGATTATTGTTACATTATTTTTGCATATAGCACCTTTAAAATATTGCAAAGAAGATCCATATTTCTAGTTTACATCAGTGTGAATACCATTTCATGAAAGAACACATAAGATTGTCCTTTACTCCTCCCAACCCTTAACTAATTCTGTCCATGTTGAAGCTGTGTCAAAATGTTTTCCAATTTGTGCTAGCTCAATCTGCACTGTCCACTTTGTATGTTGTGCTTCAATTCCTTGTAACTAAAACTACACTCTGATTGACTACTGCAACCTGTGGTGGGAATGACCACTCTGGTTACTGGCTTCCAGTGCCATTTTTCTAAAACAGTAGAAAAAAACTGAAATTTTAAAAAGTTAAATTCACTAAAGACCTATAATAGAATTTATTTTTCTTAGATCAGTTGAAATTGACAAGGATTCCCACTTTCCCCTTTTAGTCCATGTAACAGAAAAAATGATATTAAAAGGTATGTATGTGAAGCTAGACAGCTGTACCAGTCCAGGAGAGGTAAAGAAATAAGTGAGTCAGACAAAGCATTAAATCATCACCATGGCAGAAATAAAGGAAGGGTTGAAATCTCAAAGAGTAGTGGCAGTCATGGTTATGTTGTGAACCATTTGCACTCTTACCTGGATCTTGAGGCCCTATGCATTGTCATTCATGTCTTAATTATTGCAACATGTTCTATTGGCACTACCCTTTAGAGCAGGGGTGTCAAACTCACGTTGTCATGGCAGCACGTGACGTATCAGGACTTTTTCCCCCTTCACTAAACTGGGCGGGGCCAGCATATGACGCATCTGGCCTGCGGGCTGCGAGTTTGACACCCCTGCTTTAGAGTATTTAGAAGCTGCAGCTAGTGCAGAATACAGTGGCACATCACAGTCCTGGGAGTCTCTAGGGCTGCTTATATAACACTATTACTGCACGAACTGCATTGGTAACCAATTTGCTTCCATACCCAATTCATGGTGCTGGTTGTTGTTACATGACATAAAGCCCAACATGGCATGGGTCTTGGATATCTGAGGAGCCAACTCTTCCCAATGGGACTAGCCCACCCTACTCACACCAGTAGAAAAGGCCTATTAAGGAATTCCAGCACAAAGGTTCAAGGAGAAGAACCTTTTCCATTGTGGCCCCATTCTAGTGGAACACTCTACTATCAGAGGTGAGAACTGTTTCTGGCCTTCCAGAGGGGTATTAAAACTTGACTTTGTTGGTTGACCTGGAGACCTGAGCGGGACACTCACTGCTGGGGTTGGCTGACTGTTCATCTGTCTCTTTATTATGGGTCATCTTATTTTAAAATCTTAAAATATTTTAATATTTTAATTTCCCCCCACTTCTTTTATAGCTTGTAAGCTGCTCAGAATCACCTTATAAGGGAGGTGGGTGGCATAAAAATTAATAACTAAAATAAAGAAATAAAATAAATCTGGGAATTTTCAGATGGTTTATACACAAAGGGCAAGTGACTGCTTGGCTTGCTTGTTTTTATAATTATACATTTGTAGTTTAAGAAAATGACAACTTAGAAAAATTTGATTTGTCTCAGCTACTGTTATATTTGTGTATTCTTAAATTATTAAAACCTGTCAGGATGGGGTTGAGGTTTGTCCCCAACCGTGAACCAGCTCACAAGCAAACACACTAGGACTGAAATAAAACTAGCAGAGGAGTCTTGTGTAAAAATATACTTTACTTCAAAATGTTTAAAAAACACTATATCTTTAAAAAGGCACATTAACAACAAAGTCTTATCTTGGTTAAATGAAGCCAGGCCATCTCCCTCAATTCCTCTCCACAATACCGAAACAGTCCATAAGAAAAAACTAACATGACATTAAACAGCTTCGATGTCGATACATCATCGAGGTGGTAGAAGGGCAGCAGCGTAAGCTTCACAGCTAAGTCACCTGTGAAAAACAATTCAATCAGCAAACGTGGCTTGAAGCTCCTGGGAGGGAAACTGTCCAGCTCTCCCTCCGATCGTAGCTCCAACAGCAGCAACAGTTCAGATGTTGGCTTGCGTGCTTCAACTCAGCAAAAGGCAAGCTGAAATTGGAGACTTCAAAAGGTTCCCAGCTATCTCAACTCACAGTTGCAGCTAGCTCTGTGGGAGTATCTTTACACAGCTCTTCGGCTCCTTTTCTGCTGCTATCTCTGCTGCAGCCGTCAGGACTCCTTAGCTGAGTTCTCCTCCCTTCTGCAGCTCTGCTCTGGGCTCTGCATCCAGGTGCTTCAGCACTGGCTCTGCATCTAGGCCTAAACAGCATCTAGGCTCCAAATAGGAAGCAAAAAGGTCCATGCTTATATGGGGAGTTAACCTGCAATTAACTAGGGTGGGGAAGGCTTGCAGATAATTGCAAACAGGAGATGGCTTGATTGGATACATACTGTTTGTAACTGATCAAGTAGCTACAGCAATTCTGAAAATACTCGTGACAAAACCAAATTGGAATACTGTAGTAAAATACTTTAAATTGCAACTGTGGTTCATTAAATACATGCTAAGGGATTTAAACATACAGTATCTAAATAAATGAATTTAATGAATGTATAAAATAATTTAAATATAAAAATGCTGTTCCTTGTCCTAAATTAAATATTGGAGTATATCAAGAAACATTGGTATCAAATGAAAATTTATGATCTAGGTCAGGGGTATCAAACTTGCAACGACACATCATCACGTGACATATTGCAACATTTTCCCCCTTCACTAAATCAGGGGTGAGCGTGGCCAGCACGTGACACATCCGACTCACGAGCCACGAGTTTGACACCCCCTGATCTAGGTAAAACAGTAAAACATTAATTTCGTTGACAGTTGCAAAAAAATTGACAGTAAAAAAAAATTCCGTTGACAGTTGCAAAACAAAGTGGCAGCTCGGAGCTGAAACTCTGAGGCTAGGAGGGAGATGTTTTGACATTTTCAAGAATGTGGGGGTCAATTAACCATCCAGAGACCCCCCTCCCAGCAAGCTGAGGTATTTTCGGCTCAATAGAGCTGTGGATGGAGCCCAAGGATCAGCTGTTCGTCGGTGATCAGTCTCAGAAAAGACTGAGGGCGGCACGGAGGACGTCAACATCAAAGCCTGGCTGTCACGACCAGGTCAACCACTGAGTCTAATACAGCTGATGAAATGGTTGGCGAGACGGTGGCAACAGCGACTCCGGATAGGGTGTTGATAATGATGCCTGGGCTAATAGGCGCTGCATATAGCAACACGGCGGTGATGATGACTACGGC